CTGCCCAACGTGGCCAGCACCACGTGCAGCTAGTAGCTTATCAGCCATATCACGTACGGCAGCGTAGGTAGGCGCAAATCCACGCTGATCTAGATCAAGTATATGGCTTATAATCACCTCCTCTTCTATCTGAGTAAGCTTTTTTGAGTTGGGCTGGCAATCGCGTCTCGCGCGCTTCCCAGCGCGTCGATCGCGTAACGTTGATTCAGGCACGTTAAAGATTGAAGCTGCGCGGCGGCCTGTTTGAATTTGATTAGAATCAAGAGATTGTATAGCAAGCTGAATATCTGATTCATTTGAGAGTAATTGAATAACGTGGCGTGGAGCCATGATAAAGGCAAGTGTAATAGAGTAAGAAAGTTGGTGAGGTGCGCGACTCGCTTGCCTGCGCGACTCGCTTATCCATCACGTTAGATCAAGATTGTATCTACATACATACATAGCATCTCGTATCCGTCAACAAGGCGCCTGCACTAAGGAGTTGCCGACCCGTTTTTTTTGTTTGTTTGTGGGGCCCCTTCACGGAGAATTATCCGCGGGTTGTAGTGCATCTTCCGTGTATCAGCTGATTATTCGTGACTTTCGGGGTTGCAATAGGGAGTTTTATGTTGATAGGATGGCTAATAATCTCACTGACGATGGAAACGATCGTGATGAGAAGAATAAAATCACTATTAAGTTTACCTAGGTACTAATCACTAGTAATTTCTACAACAACTACACAAACGCATTTTTCATGATAGATTTATAGTCACAAGGTATAGATGACCATTACACAGTCGTGTGTCATCGTGTACGTTGCTTTTCATACAAGATTTAAGTACAACTAGGTGATAGGGTATCAAAAACAACTTAAAAAAATGCAAAATCCAAACTTGCTTGTATACCAATATAAGGCTGGGTCACAACAAGCGATATTCACCGTTGAAAATCACCACTATTCCTCATCCTAAACCCGGTACTAATCCGCTCAATGGGACCCTGTCTCTCCGCCCTATCAACACTGAGTCGCTGATTCAGACTCGTAGCGCCATCTATGCCGTTTAGAACGGTCATACCGCCTTTTGCACCGCTCCGTGCAGTAGTGCTGCGACTGGCGACGGGAAGTAGCGAGCCCCCGTCATTCCACCTGTTCGCACGCGCACTGCTAAGGTAGCTTTCGATGCTGCGGCGTCCATCTGGGCGGTACGCCGGGCTACGGTTACGGCTACGGCTGAGCGCCTCCTCGATAGTGCGGGTATCGATAGCATCACCGTAGTCGAGTTTCTCGATGCCAGCGTAAGGGTCTGTAAGCGCGTCGTTGTTGTGATCAGCACGGGCGTGCTGAGAATTCGCTTTTCGATCGCGGAATCTGCGTTTGACTTCGCGGAAGAAGTCACCGATAGCGTCGAAGGAGAGGGCTATGGCGATGAAAGGGATGGAGATTGCGAGGCCGATGCCGAACATGTATTTTCCGACGAAGGATAAGGGGAGCGAGGGCTCGTCGCTGCCAGGCTGGTGGGGGAATTCTTGGATATTGATGGTGAACATGGCGGCGATGAAGGAGAGGGGGAGGAAGATGATGGTGACGATGGTGAAGACCATGATGGTCTGGCTTTGACGTGCAGTTCCTGCGGCTTGGTCGCGAGCGAAACGCGCTTCGAAAGCGTTGGCGTGCTTCTGTTTTAGGTCGAGCAGGTCGGTAATTGAATCGTAGATGCGCTTGGCTTGCTTGTCCATACGCTCAAGATCTTTGAGGTGGGTGTCGATTGTCTTGAGGAGCTCTTTAGACCGCTTCTTTATATCCTGCTGACTTTTGTGCTCTTCTCGATAAATGTCTGTGATACTGGCTTCCATGTCAGGAAGTACATTGCGCTGGTCTTCCAGTACTTTGGCGATCATGTTCAGTTCATCACGAATATCCTTGATTTCAGCCAAAAGGTCCGTCTCGGCACCAATGTCTAGTAGTTTGTCAACAAATAGGGGAGCATGGGCAGCTGTTCGGTCGCTATCGTCATAGTCAAATTCTTCTTCGCGGATCGGAGGGTCAGCCAAAGCGTGCGAATGGGAGTGATGCGGCACATGTCGCCGATTGTGCTCTCTTTGCCTTCCCTCTGCTTCAAGATGACGTGAGAAGCGGTTGGGCCGACGGTGGTGTTGTAGCCATGCTGATGCTTGTGCAGAAGCCGTATTGAACTCTTTAAATAGTATTGTCTCCATCTCGGTAGCATCGCCTATGCTGGATTCGAACATGTCAAGAAACTGGTAGTCCTCGTCGCCAGTACGGTGACGATCAAAGACTCCACTGCACCTTCCAGAGATGATCATAGCCAGATCGTACACATTGCGAACTGGATCTCTAGCCTTGCTATTGATGTCCTCGATGATGCCATCGAGAACATTGAGCGGGTCGTTTCTAGGCTGCTGCCATCGCTGGGGAAAAGCAGTCACAATCAAATCCTTGCCTAGTGTCCACATCCATAATTGATCAACCATGAAAATCTTCGGATCCACATGTTGAGGGTCATTCGACTTGCACTGGTACCGGTAGACGACTTGGTCACGATCACGAGACTGTGTGTCAATATTGTGATAGAAGAACTGATCCAGTGTACGCCGTACATGCAGTGAAATCTGCGAAGAGGTCAGATGAGCTCGTAGTAGCATCTCATCGTACGTTTTTGCGCGTGGAGGGGGTGGCCTATTAGCTCGTCCATCGTTTTTCTCATAACCCTTTATAATCTGTGTTTTCTTAATTGCAGCCTGCATCTCTTGGCGCCGGCGGTCAGACTCGAAGTGCAGATATGGCATAAAAGCAAATATATTGCCCTTTGCAACAGTCGTCGGGTCTTTCCGTCCAGGACTGCCAGGTGATTTGAGGTGACCGCTGAGAGTGAGAGATGAGCTTATGTGTGTTCTTTTTGCGTAGTGTTCGGGCCCTCTAGTAGGTGTTTCGGTGCCGCCAGATCGTTTGCCGGCCGGCTTCGACCCGCCCCACTTTTGCGTCTTCTTCGTCTTATCTTTTGTTTTTCCTTTTACGTCTTTGTTAGCCACATAGCTCGGGCCCGTCCCAGCAGTCCAATCCGTTTGTTCTGTGCTGGCTGTACCTGTTCGCGCAGGTGTCTTGGGAAAGTGCGACGAGGTTGAATCTTGCATGGCGACTGCTGGATCAATAGTTAAGCCCAGGCCATTATTGACGGTGATATGCGGAACCCCTGGGTCACCACCATCAGAAAGATCTGATTCATCGTGATTCTTTGGAGCACGTGGCGTGCTCTGGCACAGCGGTCTCATAAAATGCGAGTGTATTTGCTGTCCACGGTGTTGGTGACTAAAGGACCGTTCCAGCGCCTTGAATCCCTCAACGTCGCTGGCTCCTTCCTCGATGAATGCTTTAGTCAGCAATGCCTCCACCCAGGCCATGTTGTTTGCAGGCAGGTGTATCCACCTGAAGCTTGTTCCTTTGGAATCTTTGGGCAGAACACTGACTGCAGGTTTCCTTGGGTTGATCGGATCACGGCTGTACAGCAGTTCAAAGACTGTCTTGCGTGATACTCTGTTCTCGTTGTGAAAATTGCCAAAATCGACAATCGTGGCGTGAAATCCATTGGTAGCACCCAGCGCATCTTCGCTCAGCGCCTCAATCTGATTGTGCGGTGCCAATCTGTTGATGATGTCTTTGCGTGCAGACTTCTTGCTTTGGGCAGCCCGCAAGAACGGTGTAATACCAAAGGCATCCTTTGCAGCTCGCTTTACGTCGTTTCGCTCCAGAAGACAGTTGACTACGTCCAAATGTCCAGCTTGGGCTGCTACGTGCAAGGGGGTCATCCCGTTCAAGAGTTTTGCATTAATGTTCACTCCAGCAGCCAACAGCATCCTCACCACCTTTACGCTTCCCTGCTCACAAGCGTTGTGTAAGGGAGTCCAGGATCCGTCGCTCTTGGCCATGATGTCCGCACCATGCTTGATCAACAGCTCGATAATGTCGTCTCTCCCGTGTGCAATTGCAAGATGGAGAGCCGTCTTCTGCCTAATTTCCACTGCGTTGACGTTTGCTCTGGGGAGTCGCGGTCGCCTAAGCAACAATTCGCACAACTCTTTTTTCCCCGTACTCGCTGCCCAGTGCAGTGGACTGCGCTTCTGGTCGTCCTGACCGTCTGGTCCGTCAATGGCGATGTTTTGTTTGAGAAGCTCGGCTATAACGTCGCGCCCCCAATTGCAATGCTTGTCGGCTGCCAGATTGTGCAACACATTGCGCCCCGTGTTGTCCTTGCGGTTGACATCTGCGCCACACCGCAGTAATTCATGCATGACGTGAAAGTGATTTTTCCAAGCCGCCATCATGAGGACCGTTCTCCCCTGCTTATCTTGTGCGTCGACATTTCCCCCGAATTTCAACAGTAGTTGCACAATTCCGACGTGGTTCTTCTCGACTGCCTTGAATAAGGGCGACACCCTGCCTCCCGGGGCACCATCGGGTTTGGCGCCACTTTTCAGCAGATACTCGGTGATGAATATGTTTCCGCGCTCGGCTGCGCGCACCAAAGCGATGCGCAAGAGGTGGTCGACGGGTTGTGCATTGGCTTTGGCCTGCTCGATGATGGCAATGGCATTGTCGTGCTTTTGGTCCTCGACTGCCTTGAGAAGGCGTGGCTCGACACGAGCATGCTGCGCGGACTCGCCGCCGTCGCTGGATCGAGATGGTGAGCGCCCCATGCTGGCTACATGCTCTGCTTCGGTTTGCGCTGTTTCGTTTTGGCGGTGAGGGATCAGTATTTGGGCGCAAGAGGCGTGCGAGGGTCGGTTTGGGATGAAAGGCGCGTCAAGGTCGATACGTGCAATTGCCTGAGTCGCCAAAAACCATGTCTAGTTTCGAGTCTTCTCCTATTCGGGCTGTACATGTACAGCTTGGACGTGTCTATGAAAGTGGGCGGCTGCCTTTAGCTGCAGGCCTGAACGGTGGCTAAGCTAATACCCCGGCCATGTTGTGCAGCCGCACACGTGACGATCAACGGCTGGTACATCGTCTTGAGCAGTGGAGTGGAGAGAAGCCGGCTGGTATCCATTGGGGTTTTCGTCATTGGGTGAGGTGCGCTGACTTGGGAAATTGAGGGAGATGCTGTGTCTGACTAATAGTAGATCGCATCGAGTTTCGGGGATTGCGGGGAAGGGCCGCTGTCTGCACATTACGCGGACGTCACATCGGGGCACTACACAGTGCTTATTTCATCTGCCGATGATTTGGCATCTGCATTGTGCTTGACTCCACTCGAGTTGCTTCGCCAATACCTCGGAAACGGCATAGACACGAATCTGGCGTTATCCGTGTGGCGTATGCCAGCGGATGCACGCCTTCTCCGCACCTATAAACAGACATGAAGCCCGGCGACTATATAACACGTTCGGCACCACCCTTGTTGTCGACATCCACACCTTCAACACCTACACATGGGAGACTGAAGAGTTCAACACTCTTCTGGCGCGTCACTGGCTTGATTGCAAGCCTCGTTCTTTTTACAATGTACACCAACAACACTACAATGGACACAGTGGACACAGAGATATCACCAAGCAACCATTCCATTTTCATTCCCTTTATCTTCGAGTTCAGCCCCAAACATGTTCCACAAGTCATGTGTACAGTTGAAGGCGTTGACATCCATATGCCCGTGGACACTGGATCAACCGGGACTTTGATAGGAGCTCCAATACTACTCAACATACCATCGACCGCGGGCACGCCAGCACACCACTTCTTTACGAGCAGTAAGATCCTCTATGTTGGTCGAATGGTTGAGCTAGCCATGAACTTTACTGGCGAAGGTGGCTCATACGCGACTGCAAAGGTCCCTGTACTTGTTGTTGACAAGAGCTGGAGATGTCCTTGGTATAATCCCCTGGTTGACCGGTTCGAGTGTCCAGCAGGTCCACACGGTGAACAAGCCGTAGAACGGGACACGTCGCAAATCACCTACATGGGCATTGGTTTCGGAAGAAACAGCCTAAAGGATGGCATGCCCTTTGCTACACCTCGCGTCAACCCGCTCTTAAACCTCTGCACTATTGATGGAGAGTCTGTTAAGCGTGGGGCGATGCACGCTGGATATATTGTATCACGTGAGGGTGTCCAAGTTGGCTTGACGCCGACAGCCATCCGAGAGTTTGCTTTTACCCAGCTGGAACCTGGCTTGACCTGGGTGGAGGATAGCAGGGATTGGGCGATGGCAAGCATGTGCTTCAGCGTCAATGGCGAGGGAAGGAATTGTGGTAGTGTGCTTGTCGACACTGGCATAGCGCAGATGTATATCAGAGCGGAGAAAGGCGTTTCAATGCCGACCATCGTCATTCCCAATCCCAACCCAAACGGTCATGCGAAGGTGGTGAAGCGCGTGAAGCCAGGCACCAAGATCACCATTGGCTTTCCATCCCTTGACCAGCCAGCCATGTCTTACTCGTTCACCGTTGGCGAAAAATCAGCCATTGAGCCCAATTATGTCTTCCCTCAACTATCCAATCATTCGCCCTATATCAACACGGGGAGAAACTTGTTGTTCCGCTATTCGATAGCCTTTGATGCGGTAGGAGGGCGATTCGGATTTCGGTCGGTTGGCAACTCTGCCACGGCTTCTGTATTATAGCCTGCGAATCGCGAATGAAGTAACAGACCAAATTTGAACCAGCATGATTCAGCTCTTCTTTCCTCTGGATGCGTCGTTGGGCGAAAAATGAATACCAAGCCCTTCGCCTTTGCCTAATTCATGTAGTCATTTGGCAGTGGTTGCGGGCCTCATGGGACTTCGAAACCCATCTCTCAGTTCCTTGTACTCTTCTACCGCTTTGACGACAATGCTATGCGCCTGTACGGTTGAGATATCCGCGCCTGCAATTGTAATTGCGCCAACGACACCTTCGACCCCCTTTACGAAGACGGGATATCCGCCTCCTTCTATAGTGTATTTGGACCATTCATCTCCACTCATGGCGTGGTATTCTGCAAACTTTTTATAATCGTCGTCGAATTGGCAGCCCATATACCATGTCGAGTGACCCCATCTGAGCACTGTGTTGCGTTTCCTCTCTACCCATTTCTCGTGGTCAGGCATTATGCCAGGGAGGCTTGGCGCATGGAAAAGGGTTTGAGTCGAGAGAGCTATGTGGATGAGGGCAGGGCACTCGGTGGTCCGAAGAGCGTTTCGAAGAATGTTCCCAATAACCCAGGCATGCTCGCACGTGAAGTGGTTGAAGGTGAAGCCCTTTTCCTCCTTTGCGAGTTCAGCTAGGTCGCGTGTGGGCAGGGGTAGTGCGCCGAGCATCTTGACACAGGATTTGCGGATATGTTTGTGGTGGTTGATTCTTTTTGTAAGGAAGTTATAGGTAGGGAGTCTTGACATATAACCAGAATTTGCCGATTATGTACCAATCGAAACAAAGAGATAGGAGAAGACGGAGCGTGAAACATACGAGTCAAGCAGTCAACGGAAAGCAGCGCGTATAAAGTAACTACGCCGGCGGTCGGGTCGTTCCGCCATTTCAGCCCCAAGCTCCCCCACTTCTTGACACGTGCCTGACGCGAGAACAATTGTCGGCCTCGCTGTCACCAACCAACGTTCATTTCCACACTTGCTTTGTACACCGACATGAAACTTTGCGTATAGAGGTGCATTTTGTTGACAACACGAAAACTATGAAACCGTATCCAGTATGGTTTTCCGGGTCAGCCATCGGCCAGAACTTACAGCATCTTTCGCTCGGGATGTTTGTGCCGATTCGACTTAACATTAGCCTCAAGAGAATCCACCCGTACGGCCGGAGCAATTCATTACTGTCAATACGGTCCTACTGACTGATCTGGTAGGAATGATTGTGCGAAAAATTTGACTTTCAGATAAACTCTGGGGCCGTGTTATCATGCTTCCATTCCCTCTTAACTCTTGCACAAGAGCAAGCCGTTCCGTCGACTCTTTACAGACATGCCTATCCTATTTCACCCTTGCCGAATCCGTGCAGACGCGATCGTGATAGAGTTGTATACAGTTATACACAAGGTTTCTTTCCGCCATACCGCCGGTTAGTTGTGCGCTGCCGAAGTCGCCTAGGAACAGATTATGCATGTACTTCCAGAGCCTCGCCATCTTCCGGACAAGGGCCGAAACACAGACCTAGCCATATACTCGTATATGTATACATGCGAGTGTTATCGATAGCAGGGAGTCTGTCTTGACCTCCGCTCCAAGAAGGGCAGACAACCGCTAAAGCTAGATGACGCCAAGACGCTAATGGCCTCGATTGACAGGAACTGTGAAGAGATCGCAAATATCCAAGGTTAGGGCGACGAAAGCCTGAAGCAACACTATGCAGGGCCTGAACCGAGGCAGGATTGTTGCACCGGAGAATTTGGTAGCATCAGAGACAACCAATAGCATGGTATGTCATCGAGTCTGCACAGGCTTGGCGTTGATATGTTCGCCAAAACCCTGTCTTGTCTACTACCTTAGACCCTAGGAAGAGATTTTCGGTCACGCGATTCTCCGGGACTTTTGCCTATACTACCCCAAAACCACGAAATGGTGGCAGTGTGATGATCGACTAGTTCCCTTCTCGGTGGAGGCAGTCCCTGGTGCCTGTAGCGTGCTTGGTGAAGCAGGGTGAGGGAATGACGTTCGCACCAATGGCACTTTTGCCCCCAGTAGGCGAGACGAGCCATGTCCCCCGCCAACGCTGTCAGATCAGATATCTAGTAGATGCATGATGCATACGGCATGACGACGGAGGCATTGCTTGTGACGGCCACGGCCGCTGAACTATGCTTTTACATGGGACCGGGACCTCTCTGTTGCTGCCATGGGCGCATATTGACGGGCAAAGGCGATGCCCGCCTGGCGCAACCCCACGACCAAGATACTGATGTACATGACTACACACGAAGGTGTACACCTAGTGCGAGACTTGCCGTGCCCGAATTAGTCGGGCTTACTATGACGTGCCTCGTCGAATCGCCGATCACGACCAATTCATCAGTCGATCCATGTCATGCCAACATCGGTAGCGCATGGAAAAGATGGAACATGGCAAGCGATGAGCTGGCCTAGACCGCATCGATTCCTGCAACTCGTGTACCCTGTCCCTCGGCCCTCTCCTCCGCAACTCAACCTCATAGCGTCTTGCTCGTCGTCTTGCCAGACATGCGTTCGTAGGGTCATGTTGGCTGCGCTGCTCTGGTATGACGTCACGCGCACTTTCAGTCTCTGAACACGCCTCGCTGCACCTGTTTCCTCCGCCTGAAATCTTACTCAACCCATCGCCCGCGGAGGCGCCATGGAGAACCTTGACAAGCTATCTGCCACAGGCCTGCCCATCTTCGACCTGAATAAGGAGAACTTGTTCCGCAAAGACTGGTGAGCACTTGCCCGCCACGGCCCCATTTGCTCCTCCATCGCGCGCTGTAGTTAACGCCTTCCAGGTCCAAATCTTCAATTGGCCCGCGCGAGTCGTGGCCAACCTCGCTCAAATGTCTCGTCAACACATGCGTGTTGCCCATGCCCCACTGCTCGGCCGTTTTCTGGGGTAAAGACCTAACAGTTATACACAATCTCGCTTGGGAAACAGCGCGGGGTGGTCTCGATGGCCAGGCATCCAATGCTCACGACAGCTACGAACATGAGGCGTTGGCAACGCTGAAAACAGTGCTCAGAGGGCGGACGGTCAAGGTAGGTAAGCATCATACCGTAACCTTGCAGTTTCTCCTTCTCACACTGACCCTCTCATCTAGCTGCCAGGTATTTCCTAGCGTCCCTGTCTGAAGACCGAGACCAGCAGCTCGTCCTCAGTACCATACTTGATGAAGATGGAACTCGTCAAGGCGTCTTGGCCCAACTGCTCGACAATCAAAGAACTGACCGCTACATGCCTATTGAAGGCTTGGACGAGCTTGCGCGGCAAAACCAAGGGCATCAGCTAAAGAAAAATAAGTCACGGCAGGAAGGGAAGGACTCCGAGAAGAAGAAGTCCGACTCAATGCAGGTCGACTCAATGCAGACAACCATGTTCCAGCGATTTGCAGAACTGTTGCCCAACGGCCTGGCAATCCTTGACAAGGATGCCGAGGCGCTGTTTGTCAATGACGGCTTCTTCAAGCTTACCACCAACAAGGGAAGTAACGAATTCCGTTCTTGGCCAGATAGCATACATCCAGACGACTATGAGGACGTCATGACAGCCTATCGCAATGCATTTGAGAGCCGGACAGAGTTGCAGATAGAATTTAGGTGTGACGTTGCTGAGCCCGCCCAGACGGAGGGTGAGCAATGGAGAATGTTCTTGCTGAAGCCCTTGAGCGATGAGTCCGATGCTGGTTACATCAGCGCCATCATCGACATTACCGATATCAAACAGGCCCAGCTGACCCAAGAGAAAGCTGCCAACGAGGCCAGGGAGCGTAAGGAACAGCAAGAAAGGTTCATAGACATGGTTTCGCACGAGATCCGCAATCCGCTCTCTGCCGTCCTTCATCTCGCTGAAGAGGTTAAGGAGGTGACGAAGGAGATTGGCGCTGGCCGTGATGAAATTCGCGATGAAATAGCCGATATTTTAGATGCCGCCGACACTATCCTACTATGCGTTTCGCACCAAAACACCCTAGTAGATGACATCTTGTCATTCTCTAAGCTAGATTCTATGATGCTATCTTTGGTCCCTCGCGGTGAGTCTCCATCACGATCATGTTGCATCATTTACTGAGCCCTCCAAGAAACAAAGCCGAAGTGGGAATTCTCTCAAGCGCTCCGCGTCTTCCATTCCGAGTTCAAAGCCAAAAACATCGATTTCCATTATGCCATGGACGTTTCATTTGAGGACCAGCAAGTAGACACTGTTGTTGCTGATCTCAACCGCATGAAGCAAGGTATGAAGTGTCGGGCCGTGTTTGGTATGGGGCTAACAGTTTTTAGTTCTGGTAAATCTGATCACTAATGCCATAAAGTTTACCTCGAGGAAGAAGGGCAAAAGAAACATAACTGTGTCCATGGGCGCATCAGTAAAACGACCTACGTCATATCCGCCCAACGTCGTTTACTTTAGCGAGCAGAAAGAAGCATTTCATCTAGATTCAACCATGACATCGGAATGGGGTACTGGAGATGCCATGTACTTAATGGTTGCCGTCAAGGATACCGGCATAGGCATTAGCAAAGAAGGCCAAGCCAAGTTATTCGAGCGCTTCAGGTATAAGCAGTTTTCTCTATCACCCCCAGTTTCGCTTGACTAATCATCCACTAGGCAAGCAACACCTAAAACACAAGAAAACTACGGAGGCTCCGGTCTTGGATTGTTCATATCGCGCAAGTGTAAGCAAGGTACACTGCATGTCCAGCTATCCATTCGCTAACATCAATCAGTATGCACTCTACATGGCGGTGACATAGGTGTAAGCTCAAAAGAGGGTGAAGGATCAACATTTGGATTCTTCTTCAAAGTGCGTCGTTCAGTCGGAGGAAGTGATCTGGGGCGACCGCCTATCCAATCCCGAAGCAATTCAGAAAAATCGGAGAGCTCTGGCTTGAAGCCGATACGCCCCAGCTATAGTAGAAGTAACTCGACTCTCCAGCGTATCAAAGAGCAAACGAATGAGCGTCCGGAGGCAAAAACGTTGTCTAGCCATTCCGGAGTAGACGCAGAGGAGATGAACCCCTCGCTCAAAGACCCGCCTGTGGAAGAGAGATCAGAGGCACACCCACAATCGAGCGCAGATCGGCGTTACGAAGAAACCGCATCGACTGTCAAGGATATCTCGACAGAAAAGCCGAATATTGAAAGGACGTTGCCAGATCTCCGTAGAGGAGAGACATCAAGACAAGAGGAGGGCGCCCACGAAATATCGCGGTCACAAAGTGATCCACGCACTGAGGAAAACCATACTCTCCTTCTTGTTGAGGACAATTTGATTAACCAGAAAGTCCTTCGTCGTCAACTTCAATCCCGGGGCTTCCAAGTCTTCACAGCAAACAACGGCCAAGAAGCCATTGATGCCGTTGCCGAGCGTGGCCATCGGGCACAGAATGGTCCAGATGACAGAAACTACTTTGATATTATTCTCATGGACCAGGAAATGCCCATCAAAGATGGCAACACCGCAACCCAGGAAATTAGGCAGCTGCAAGAGGAAGGCAAGGCGGGATACAGTCATATCTTAGGCGTATCGGCGAATGTGAGAGAAGCACAAACACAGAGCATGCGCGACGCTGGAATGGACGACGTCATCTCAAAGCCGTTCAAAGTGGACGATTTGGTGCGTAAAGTGCGATCACTTGTACTTGATGGCGGGGGCAGTGCAAGGCATGACAACAGACCAAATGGCCAGCCAAATCCACGTGAAAGCGGTAAAGAAAAAGGAGACGATGAAGTAAAAGATGTTCTCAAACCTTCAGACGTGGAGAAGCAAAATCAAGATACAGAAGGTGAAAGCGAGCGTGAGACGACAAACTGGGGTGGCTCACGGACTCGATCGCGAGCCGAAGTTAAGAAGGGAGGGAGAACAGACGATCAGAAGTCTTGAGTGCTGCAGTCTTTACAAACAAAGAGAGCCATACTGTTTCCAGTCTACGATTTATGTTGTTGCATTTGGTTATTCCTTGGTTGCAGAACCGCGTTGTACGGGGTTCTGGACGGGCGATACACTGATGAGCGGACTGAACGAAGAAACGGCCTTTTCGAACGTGGGATGACTGTTATGTGCCATTCTGGCATGCTTATACCCAAATTCAACATTTACAAATATATATGCGACGCAGACTTGTCCAGTGATTTGTTGAGATGGATACATTACATGTACGAGTCATGCGGATGATATCCGACGTCACCCCCACCTTTCCCTGAGATAACATCCTCATGGGAGCATTACCATGTGCAACATGTCTTTGCACATGTACGATAGCAACAACGGTCTGACACTCGCCCTAACCAGAACCTGAATTTACTGAATAATTCTCTCTCCGTTACCATGGCAAAAGAATTTGAGGGAAAGGTTGCTCTTATCACAGGAGCGGGCAGTGGCATTGGGTACGCTTTCGACCCCTCTTCCCCACTATCTCATACAAGCCTCCACGATAGCCTTGTACTGAAATCACACTAGTCGCGCAACGGCTCTGAAGCTCTCCTCCCTTGGCGCTTCAATCTCCCTTTGCGACATCAACCAATCCAACCTTGAAGTCGTCGCTTCAGAAAGTAGCACACCCTGTTACACACAGAAAGTCGATGTCGGCAAGAAGGAGGAAGTGGAAAACTTTGTTAACAATACAGTCAAGCAACTAGGAGGCCTGAACTATGTATTCAACTGCGCAGGCGTGAACCCAACCAGTATGAAAGTCGAAGACACGAGCGAAGAGTACTGGGACAAACTGGTAAACATAAACCTGAAGGGCGTCTTCCTCGTCACACAAGCATGTCTACCTCATCTTGAACGCGGCTCGGCAATTGTCAATGTCTCGAGCATCAGTGGCATCCGCGGCTCAGCCCTGCAGTCTGTATACTGCACTACCAAATTTGGGCTCATTGGCATGTCCAAGTCGCATGCACTCGAGTTTGGGCCCAGGGGCATCAGAGTCAATTGCGTGGCGCCGGGGTACATTGACACGCCGTCGAATGCGGGTATTGTGAAGGGAGGAGAGGCAGTGGAGAGGATGCGGAATGGAAATGCGCTGGAGAGGTTGGGGACGCCGGAGGAGGTGGCGGATGTTGTGGCGTTCTTGTTTGGAGATGGTGCGAGGTATGTGAATGGGGCTGTTGTGGAGATTGATGGGGCAGTGAGGATGAGCAGTACAACGAGTAAATAAGATGACTCGCGATAGAAGACTCAAGCAAGTAAACTGGGGGGAAATATATGATGGTGAATCCATTTGGAGACTGATCTTTTTGGAACGAGGGTGATGCTCGTGGCTGTCCAATGGGAGAGCGAGGCAGTGAAGCTATGTTATCACGTGCGCGCTGATCGACGAGCTGCACTAGCGCCTCGTCTCATCGAAAGTTCCGTCGCGACATCTTTCCCTTACTACGACAACCTTTAACATCGCCGCAGTCATGACGGAAACACAACCCGCACAAACTTTGCTCGCAACTGATAAATCTCTCGAGTCATCCGCATCGAACGAACTCGTCCACACGACCGAACAAACTATCATCACAACAAATGCCGAAGGCAAGAAAGTCAAGAAGATCATCCGGCGCAAACGACGACCTGCACGTCCCCAGATCGACCCAGCGGAGATAAAGACTCAGGAGACCCCACAAACAGGCACAATCTACAATGTCTGGTACAACAAATGGTCTGGTGGTGACCGCGAAGACAAATACCTCTCCCAAACTCCCGCGCAAGGTCGCTGCAACATAGCCAGAGACAGCGGCTACACAAAGGCCGACAAGACGCCCGGCGCGTACTTCTGTCTCTTCTTCGCGCGCGGCACCTGTCCGAAAGGAGTAGATTGCGAATACCTCCACCGCCTGCCCACGGTGACGGACATTTTTCCCAGCAACGTCGACTGCTTCGGGCGCGACAAGCACGCCGACTACCGCGACGACATGGGCGGTGTAGGAACCTTCCAGCGCCAAAACCGCACCCTGTACATTGGGCGCATACATCCAACCGATGACATTGAAGAAGTCGTCGCACGGCACATGCAGGAATGGGGCGAGATTGAGCGAACGCGTGTCCTAACAGCACGTGGCGTAGCCTTTGTCACATACATGAACGAAGCAAACAGCCAGTTTGCAAAAGAAGCAATGGACCATCAGTCATTCGACCACAACGAAATCCTCAACGTCCGCTGGGCAACCGTCGATCCCAACCCCCAGGCCGCCAAACGCGAAGCCAGACGCATCGAGGAGCAGGCCGCAGAGGCAATCCGCAAAGCGCTGCCTGCGGCGTACGTGGCCGAGCTCGAAGGTAGAGACCCGGAGGGCAAGAAGAGGCGCAAGGTTGAAGGTAGCTTTGGACTCCAGGGCTACGAAGCACCAGACGATGTGTGGTATGCAAAGGAAAAGGGCGAGTGGGAAGCTACTAAGCAGCTCCAGGCAGGTGGTGCGGGAGACAGAATGGCAATTGAGAGTGGAGACAACGCATATCAAGATATGAATCCGGGACTAGATACCGGTGCTGCGCAACAGCAACAGCAGAACAGCGGTATTTTGTCTGGCAGCACCCTGGCGGCACTCAAGGGATTCAAGGCTACGCCGTCGAATAAGAGACCGACGCCTGCTGCGGGGCCGTTGGTGGATTATGGGAGTGATAGCGACTAAGTCTGCCACCTAGGACAGAGTGGAGTACTTGCATTTATCTGTGTAATGAGGAAGGAAAAGAAAAGAAAGGTTATGCTATGTAGCATTTGTAAGCACTGGTTTGGCGTTGACGTGGTCACAATTTGATACCCTTTTGGAACATTCAGATATGGAATTCGTTATGTCTGGCATGCTTGATCACTGTGATCGAAACCATCAAGACTAGTAGTAGGAGAGAAGGAAGGACAAGGAAAAAAACAATGAAAAAACAACACCAGACCTATCCTAACCCAACGATGATAAAGTGTCCGAATTTTCAAACCGGCGCAACACCCTCCCTCTCACAACCCCGCAAAAAACTACTCCAATCAGTAACCAGTCGTCGCCCCGCCCAAACACTCGACTTGCCCCCTTCCTCCCTTGCATCACCCTGGCCATCGAGCTCAAACCCACTCCTCACCCTCTTGCTCCCTTCCTCGACAACATCTTCCACATCCCTAAACAACCTCTTCGCAGCCGCCACCTCCCCGACATCCTGCCCTCCACATCCAAACCCGCAATTGCGCCGGCCACACGGGCGCCAGAAGCGGTATTCGGCGACTTGGTGCTCGGAAAGGGGTGGTACGGCGAGGAGCCCGGATGAGACGTTGCGGTTGGAGGTGTAGGATAGGCGGGTGCCCGAGGGGGAGAGGGGAGAGGGGGTTTCGTATTCTGTGCCGTTGGCGATGGGAATGGATGGGAGAGTTGGGTTGCGGGGGAAGTGGAGGGGTGGATTGTCGGGGGATATGCAGTGTGAGGGGCTGAGCGGGGGGCTTGCGATGCTGCGGTGGGAAGCGGATGGAGTGCGAGGGAGACTACGGATTTGTTTGTTGAGGATGCGGTCGATGGAATCGAGTTGCGAGGCGTAGTGTTCGTAGCCGTGAGATTCATAGCGGTGGGAGGGACCGCACATTTCGGATCCGTCGATGCTCATGGGGCTGGCGGGGGTTATTGTGGAGCTGAGGATACGGGGTGTTCCAGACATGATGCTGGGATTGGAAGTTGGAGAGGGAAATAGATCCTTTGCGCTCGTGGTAGGGGAAAGGGGGGTGGGAAAGCCTGGATATTTTCTGCCGACCTCGGTCAAGAGTGAGAGGTATGGTTTCACAGCCGTTGGCTGGGGCAAAATTGTGCTGACAGGTCCCATGTTGAAGACTGCACCGCTTCCGGTAGGCTGCGATGAGTTGGTGAAGCTGTTCACAGTGCCGTCGAGTGCAAGACCCCATGATGGAAGGCCATCGTACTCAGTGGCCAGCGTATGTGGAGAAGAACTACAGGTAAAGAAGCTAGTCGGGCTTCTAGGACTACTGCCATTGCTAGAATCAACAGAGCTTCCTAGGCCCGTAATACGTCGAAGAGCTTGAGAAGTAAGAGCATTCATAGGATCTGCTCTGGCGAAGCGAGCATCGTCGCAAGACCAAAGCCCGCCGTACTGCTGCCACGGAAAGGTCGGGAGAAAATGATCCTCAGGGTAGACATCGTATCCAAGACTGCGAGCACGGAAAAAGACGTATACAAAGCGACAGTCAGGAAATTGGCGAAGAACCTACAAAGTGTATATTTAGCGCAAGCCTGACAAGTGAAAAATCGGAAGAAGACCGTGAGTGTGGTTATATGGTATTAATTGATGTGAAGTGTTTCGGTAAAATATGCTGTATATCTATGCAAACGACCAAGGAGGCTGGGATGGAAGCTCATACATCCCAAGCGGGGAACAAAGGTGGTGTCGCTGTGAGCCTACAATCAGTTAGTACATTGCTGATCATTGAAGATTGAGGATAGAACACTCACATCAAGATTTCAAAAGCCTTAAACTTCCTAAGTTTACGAGAGCCGCGCCGATATGTATGTAGAACTTCCGGTCGAGCAGTTTTGATGTTCTTACGTCCAAGCAACTTATGCATTGCAGGAGTGGTATGGTACATGGGATCAAAGACGACTAGGTGGCAAGTGCCATCATAGTGGCGTTCGAATCCAACAATGGTGAGGGAGTGACCGGGCTGCTGGAGGTAGATAGGCGGTAGTAGGGTCTTGCATACAGTGGAACCATCGTCAGTGGCTGCTTGGGCAAAATATCGCTCTACAGCAGTAAGAAGTGTTCTATGAGCCAAGGTCTTGCGATCTTCTGTGGTAAAGAACACTTCTACGGCGCAATTGATCTCTGCATTGAGAAAAAATGCTTGCGCCTGCAGGGGGTCAGAAATATTCTCAATGTGACGTAGCAGTGCATACCTCTGGAGTACCAATGTACTTTCTTGTGTTGCGAATTCCACCAGTTTGGACACGGCCGATCGAGTTGATACCGTTGTCCCACGCTTCCTCTATGAGGTCCTGCAACTTCAATATGGTTGGCAATCGACCAGGAAATTCTTCGTGACCCTGTGCCTTTGCGCCTTGAATGTATGAGAGAAGCATGTGAATGTTGCGATAACCACAGAAGCCACCTTCGTGAGGTGTTTTTCCAACGTGAATGGTAGAAGGGTGACAATAATATGCCTGCTGTACCGTGCGGTCTAAGGCGGAAAGCTGTGCAAGAACAGGTATGATGCCTGGCGTCTCATTTTGCACCTGCTCATGCTTGATGAGGCGACCGTCCCCTCCAATGCGGTTGACGATGGTGATCTCGGGGCCGGCGCTAAGCTGCCTGTGCAGCCATTCTGGCATGCGCTCTTCAAAGGCATATTCGCCCAGGTCAGATTTCTAACATAGTTAGACAAAACGTGTTACTGCGAATGGCAATAGACTTGCATCAAGACGAGCGTTCTTAGATGGCGGCTTGGCATTCTTATGGGACTTTGTGAAAGGGCTAAAACCCAGGATACTTCTGCTAATGGTAGTGTTGTCACTGTCATTTGTATTCCGTCGGCGTCGAGGTCCATTCTTGGCTGATCTGCGGCTGTGGCCGTCGGTCCTCTTCAAGGCAGTGCGCGTTTCGTTTTTCGTGTTATGCTCGACAGATGTGCTCGTAGTACGGCGCCTATGTGAGCGATGGGTGGAAGATGAGCTGTGCATAGTAGCGGATGAACGTTTAGAATGACATTTTGGGGTGGTCTCGTCGAATGATAAAGTCTCTATGCGGCAATAGTCGATATGGCCGTCGTGTTCAGAAGGAGAAACAAGCTCGTAAGAATTGGAGGCGGAACTTTTGATGGCTCTTTCTTCTTGGTCAGAATCATCGGAGTCCAAGTCCGAATCAGAATCAGATTCGCAAGAGCCGGAAGAGGAAGGTGTCTGCTCGTCGTTGTTGCCCGTCGATGCAGGCGTGGGTGGTAATGAAGATCGCAACGGCTCCGGATCATCTTGGATAATGAAGGGTGAGTCGGTGGTATGAGCCTGCTCGAAATGCAACTGAAGGAAGTAGCCATCTTTTGAAAGAATGGTGAAGTCGCACAGGGGACATTCGAGACGCTTCATGCTGCCTTCCGTATTGATGCAAATGAACCAGAATACTATACGTCTCAACGGCACTCAAGTAGATTCAAGGTTATGTAGTAAATCATGAACGTTGAAGGCTTGGTCTTGGCAGTGAGGGCAACCGTCACCTAGTGCGTGTACAAATGACACTGCTGAAGCGATTGCTGCATGCTTACGGGGCTTAGCATGACGAACGCACCAACTTCAAACGCAAATGGAAAGCTTAACCCGAGAAACAGACAAGAATGAGACGTACTGAGAGAAAGTACAAATGGAGAGGATGATGTTTTGAGGAAGTGCTGTGGTCGGCTGCAAGAATACGGTGAAGGTACGAGGCCGGCTGTTGCCAGGACAGCCAATCAGCCAGGCGCGCCAAGACCGAGAAATATGGATGATGAACTTTACATGCGAACAAAGAAGTGTAGGGGTGAGGCCTTCTACTGTTGAGCCCAGGACATGTGGATAGGCGTGCTTGGTGTTCGCAGTGTGGGCCTGGGCGGAACGCTTCATCCGCAACAGAGCAAATTGATGGCTGCAGGGACACGGCAATGCCGTGTTGGCAGCACAAGACATGAGGCCATGACAAGGGCGCATTCAGCAGCCAGATTATAGTGAGTACTGATATCGAGAATGAAGTATTCTGAGGAGAGACTGTCTCCTCAGGACCCCATAATTTGTATCCATGTACACATACAGTACGTCATTGGCCCGCCAAGACCAGCCCATGCACTTCTGAAGTCGGATGGGGTACGCTCGCACAAGTCTCTTCACATGCTGCGCCACGCACTTTGCACACGACGAACTGGCTGGGCCTTGTCGCATCGCACACAATTGCGATGCAAGCTGCGGCGAGGATATGCTGAAACGACAGGCTTAGACGATCCGCAATGGTTCCAGGAGCTGCGCACTCAAATGCTGCAGCGGGGCGCGACCCATTTGCCTGAGCATTTGACCACTCCACCCGAATACAAACTCTCGCAGACGCTGACGGGTTTCCTGCCCCGAGAATTCTGTCATCCTCCGGGCAGGCGAAACCTAATAATCCCTTTCGGCCACCATTTGATATGGTTCAATCCATCGCTGCCTACTCACGACCTACTTCCGGATGGAACAGACGCATCCCAGTCACCAGGCGGTCCTTGGGTACGGCGCATGTGGGCAGGAGGCTCAATGCAAGCAAAGCCAGACGTTTATTTTGATAAGTTTCGGGGCTTCGCCGTAGACACGCCCATGGCTGGTGTCGAGCATATCAAGCATGTTCGACTGCACGGGCAAGGCGATACTGCCAAGATCTTCGTCACCATTGAGCGCCGCTTTGCAAGAATAGACGCCCTACAAGAAAGCTACAGAGCGCTCCACGGATCGTTGGGCAGGGCCACTGGGTTGCGAAAAATTCAAAGTTACTTCGAGGACCAACTACGCGGTGACGACGCCTGGGGCAATGCCGTTCTCAAAGAAGAGCGCAACCTGGTCTTCTTCAAGGAACGCAGTGTTGCAGAACTCGACGCTATCAAGTCTAGCCAGATGGCCTCTATTAAATATCTAGATCGTGCGTACTCTGACCAGTTGTTCGAACTGCTTGCTGACTACTCGTAGCTCCTGGTGATCCTCTCTTCTCTCATTCCCTCATTCCCAATCGTGCCCTTCTGTTCCGTTTCTCTGCTCTCACTTTCAATGCTCATCTCATTCACCTCGACCCCGACTACGCTCGTAATGTTGAAGGTCACCGCAACCTCCTGGTTCATGGGCCCCTCTCCCTGACACTCATGCTGCAGCTCATGAACAATCATCTGGAAACTCATACCAAGGGAAAGCAGGTCGTGGAGTCTATTGAGTATCGGAATCTTGCGCCACTGTATTGTGACGAGGAAATGCGCATTTGCGGAATGGAGAAAAAGACACTGCAAAATGGAAGCATATACGACTTATGGATCGAAGGCCCCACAGGTGGCGTTGCTGTAAAAGGTACTGTCTACACGACAGTTCGGACACCTACTTCGGCTCCTGCGCCTACAAATGCATCTGGCGGGACCTCAAGATCGAGGGAGACACGACAACGTGACCGCACAAGTGGTACACGAGCGAGACTGAATAACCAAAATGACGGAGAAAAACCTGCTTGGCGGCAGCTGAATCTAAGAACTGAAAAAGCGAAGCCAACCAGAAGCGGCGAAGCAACTGGATCAGCGGCAACCCCGAGCCTCAATGCAATTTCAGTGTCTGAACCTTCAGCTCAGCCCGAAGGTGAGAAACCAATTGAACCTTTGTCTAATGAAACAACTCCTCAACCACCCTTCAGAGAAGTAACTGCATCTTTGATGCGCGTACCTGGCCGAGTGTCTCATCGTAGGCCTACTCGCCTCAGAAGCCATCAATTCATCTCTCCTCCCACCAAAGCTGCAACACCTATCCGACCTGTCCAACCTTATGTTCCGGCAAAGCCAGTCATTTCAAGACAAACTCAGCAACTTTTGCGCCGACTCTTCCGCGAGACCACGTCTTCTGTTCGCATGCGACCCTTGCCGCTTGCCCGCAAGTATGCTGCATCGCCGTATACAGATGAATCGTGGAGGGTCTTGAGAGGGAGCCGATTTTTAAGAGAAGGCGTAAGGAGGGTCGAGAGGCCAAGGATCAGGTATGAGGGAGAGCGTCTGGCTCGTTGGCGTTGGAGACGATGGTTGATGGATCACAACTAAGCTTACTCTATTCACTAAATTGACTTTAAAACAGGGGTTTCTCCCTTCTTCTTCAGTGTAGGACTATCAATTTAACATGTATATCATATTGAAATGATGGATCTCCTGGGTGAAAACATGACTTGTTTCTTGGCATGGAAAAGCCGTTAACTGTTGAAAAGTACAGTACAGCATTACATTTTAGTAAGACACGAAACTAAAAGTAAGAGAAACAATTCAATATTAGATGTAACGTCCCTCCCCGAGTGCTGGGACACCCGCCGTGCTGGGACAAATGAGGGGTACTTTGACTTTCAGCACTTCGCTCTCTGCGCGCAGGCTAAAAACTCCAAGAAAATCATGATATTCATGTACTAGAGCTATCTTTTAACATATTTTAACACATCTAGCTAAAAATTACATCGCTATTACTGCTCTTGTTGCGTAAGTTACAACAGACCTTTCTTTCGTGCATAACAGTGTTGCTTTACTACAGCGCTATATAGAAGCTTGTAGCGTCCAAGAAATCCTAGAAGATCGCGGTTATGTCTAAGAGGCCTTGCCATAGCGCGGTAAGCTACGTTTAGCCTCGTGGCGCCTGCAACGCCTATGTTCATGCAAGATCGCCGTCGCGATCAGTACCTCGGCTCACACTAAGCGACCCTGTACATCTTATGTAATCGTCTTCGCGTAACGTGCGGGATCAGTGAGCTGCGCGGATCAGTAAGCTGCGCACCCCAAATCCCACCAAAAATCAAGAATCGCAACAGCCTATATCTCTGCAACAACTAAATAAAAATTGTTAAAAACTTATAGAATATTCTACAGGTATATAAAAAGTATTACTACTTTTTAAGAAAAGTCTCTACTTTAATAATAGCAGACATAGAGCAAACTTCGCTTTAGTAATCCCTATAATTTGGTTTTTTCTACATAGTTTTGTATATATAAAGGATATTAGCTTCTTAATCTAGAGCTAGTAGAT